GGAGGGACCCCTGCAGGTTCTTACAGAGATGCCAGGCCAGCTCGAGCGAGTTCCGGGTCAGCAGGGAGGACCGCACCGTAAGCGTGCAGGTGTCCAGGTCCACAAGAAACAGGTACTCCCGTGGTGACGCGTGCCCCGGAGCCCGGCACGCCCCGAGCTCTCGCTGCCAAAGGTGCCGCTACGTCCAGCGGCCCTGCAGGTGCTCCAGGAAGGCCAACTTCCTCAAGTTCCTCTCGGACCACCTGACGCGCGAGGCCTTCGACAAATGCAAGAGGATGTTGCGCTGCGTCCTCCGCAAAATCATCGAGCAGGCCAAGGCCCTGAACGAGCTGCGTCGTCGGCGCTGTCGTCTCGAGCGCGAGTGCCGGTGCTGCAAAAGCGAAGAATTCCAGTCGAGCAGCCACTCGGACACCCAGGCTCGCTGCGAAAGGACGAGTTCCTTCGGAGAAGAGCGCAGCGATTCCGAAAACCCGAGGAGCTGTCGGCCGAGGTGTCCTACGAGGCGCCGGCTCGTGAAGGCTCGATCGTCGCCCGATTACAGCGAACTCGAGGATCGGAGGTGCAGAATCGATGCCTTCGCGTCCAAGTGGGGTAACAAGCCGTGCGGGTCGTCAGCGCTGCCTCGCGGGACACGGAGACGCTGTCGTTGAAGCTCTGCTGGATTGTACGACTTACGTATACGGGTTGTTTGTTTGAGGAATAAACTTTTTGGTCTAAAGTGAAGTTGCGTGTGCGTTGTTTTCTTAGTTGTTTGATCAAAGTAGCTGAGTACGATGCCGTTGATGGCTAAATAATAACAAAGACAATAGACCAAAATGATATATATATAGTCGAGCTTGTATAGGGCATCTACTCTAATTGAACGTTATGCCCTTCCCCCTTCTACCCTGCTCTGCCTCTCTCTCTCTCTCTTTTCCTTTTTCCCCTCTAAAATTGAGTTATCGTCAAACGCCCGTCCCTCGGCGCGGGATTCCTGCCAGAGTTCTAATTGGCGTCCTACCGTTAAAGTGACCACGGCCTTTTAAACCCCCACAAACATAGTACATGTATTGTACATCATATGCGCGTGACAGTGGCTACGTAACTGGCTTTTTTCCCTTCATTTGTTGCGATGTTGTCTTCCGGGGGGGAAACATTACTCCTCCCCTTTCAGGCCTTGCGGATCGATGGTATGAATCGAACGGCGCTTAGCCTTTGGCTTTCCTTCGTAATTGCGTTTTCTCGGTAATTCAGTTTCAGGAGGTTGTCGGGTTCTATTAATGGAAACTGTTTGCAGACAAAGAAAGCGATTTCGTTATAATTCTGGGGGGTTTTTTTTTTTCTTAAATTATTATTTTAATAACAGTTACAAAAAATTATCCATTTGACCGTATCCATTCTCTGAAAAAATATGGATATAACATGATTAAATGAGTTTCTTATATAGCACATGTTTCGATTTTCTACTGCACTAATTTCTATTTACTTTCATAGACAGACAGCATTACAAAAACAAAAAGCATTTTCGTGATTTCAGTAGTAATTATTATTATATAGTCAGACGTAAAAAATGGTCAGGTTATTGACAACTGACAGTTATACGTCATTTCGAATCGATAAAATTCAGTAGTAATAAGGCCATCGTCAGACACATCATCTTGTCATACTTATGGATGCAGTCAATATTAACCCATCGATTGCAATCAGTAGTAAGTATCGCAATAGTCAGGCATGAAGAATAGTCAGACTCATGGATGTAATGAATTATTTTTAATTTAATAAATTCATTAGTTTAATTTAATAAATTAATTTAATTAAATTTAATAAGAGTATTGGTCAGCCAAATCATTTGGTAATGTTTATGGCTATCAATACCTTCCCATTAATCATATTCAGTAGTAAGTATCGCAATAGTCAGACAAGAAGAATAGTCAGACTCATGGATGTAATGAATTATTTTTAATTTAATAAATTCATTAGTTTAATTTAATAAATTAATTTAATTAAATTTAATAAGAGTATTGGTCAGCCAAATCATTTGGTAATGTTTATGGCTATCAATACCTTCCCATTAATCATATTCAGTAGTAAGTATCGCAATAGTCAGACATGAAGAATAGTCAAACTCATGGCTTTAATAAAAACATTTCTAATGGAGAAAATTCAGTAGTCATTATCATCATAGTCTACCTACTATACGATTGGGCTTATGTTTCAGTTAATATTTGTCAATCAATAAAATTCAGTAGTAATTATGACTATAGTCAGACAAACCATGCAGTCAAGTTTATGGCTATAGTCAACAACTTCCAATCGATAAAATTTGTTAGTCACTATCGTCATGGTCATATCTACTATACAATTAGGCTTGTGATTCAGTCAATATTTGTAAATCAATAAAATTCAGTAGTAATTATGACTATAGTCAGACAGCAATTTGAACGACTCGTCCACACATCAAACACCAATTGCTCAACCAGGTGGTCAATCTAGCTGATCTTTCAAGGTCGCACATTGTTCTTCACTCACGGCTTACTTCGCTTCGGGAGGGATCAACGGCTCCCTCGGGAAACTGTGCCCGTCCCGGCCTTTAACCGCGTAACAAGACGCTTGTACTTTCTCGGTGGCTGCTCGGCCTGACAATCCGAGAAATCGAAAAAGAGATTCCCTATAGCCTGTATATCTACACGTACACTCAAGCCCTCGTCTTGGATGGTAGTGTCAGTATTTGGTGACAATGTTTTTCAAACCATTCGATGATAAATGTATTGTGGACCATGAAATTCACGTATCTTTAATCTGGATTAAATTGAATTATCCTACAACGACGTATAAGTGAAAAAAAATCTATTTTCTATTTTAAAGGTGCATTAATATGTAACAATAGGTGTCGTAAAATAAAATGCTCGATTTCCCAAACGTTAACTCGTAGGTCCAATCAAAACATGGATTCACGTCGAGACCAAGTGGGGAAAAAAAAAAAAAAACCAAAGTATCCCAACAGCAGCAATCCATCGTCGATCAATCAAGCTCCCGTAAGTATATCGTCCACGCGCTAGCGTAAACGTTTCAATGAATATCCCTCCGTATTTCCGAAAATAAAGCTACAACCTTTCGAAGGAGGGAAAAAAAAAAAAAAAAATTCTCCTCGTCCAATCTCGACGACGGCTCCGTCTCGTTCGTGCTACAGAGCTGGGCAACAGACTGCGATACTCGCGCGCAGCCGACACATACTTTCGTGCGAGCTCGTAGGGAGTAACAGGGGGGAATCACAAGTGCGAACAAATGCGTATACCTACGAGCAAGTATGAAAGATGAGGGTCGAGAGATTCTCGGTCGTGCTCTATATCGGTCTGAATGCGGGGATGTAGCCGTGTGTGTGTGTGTGTGTAAGAGCACGTATACATGGACCGGGGACGCGCGCGGATGATGCTGCGGGAGAGAAACCGATCGATATCGCGACCCGAGGGGGGGCTCTTGTATACGCGGCCATCTATCCTTCTCTGGCTCGTTTTGGAGGACGGGTGGGCTCCGCTGCGCGAGTTTGCAGACCATGCGAATTACGCCGTGCACGGCTAATGGGAGATGTATTATCCGTGGGTGTAGACTCATTTGCTGCTGAACGCCAGCCGCGGGGGTGGGATTTTTTGGTTTTCTTAGGTAGGGGGTGACGGGATTATCAGCAACGGGTGTTGTTTGGCTCGTGGGATTTTCTTTTCTCCGGGATCGTGATTGATGGAATTGATCGGGGACTTTTCGTGAGCTTTCAGGCGATACCTGACTCCTTGATAAGTCTGGCAGTGGTGGGATAAGAGTTTGAGAGGGAGTTTTAATGGCACGAAAATGTGGGTCAACAAGTGTTTTGGAAGATCAATGAGTTTATCAGCTGATCACATTGTATCCATCCAATCCATTCAGACTCGCAGAGATTTCTTCATTCTTTTAAGTGGTACATTAATTGCTACGTAATTGAATGTGCTCTCTAGAACGAATATTTTTCAGTTAATGCAGTTTTCACCCCAAAATCATCAGAAAGAACAGTACTTGGGTATTTTTGAGTGGATGTGTACCACCAATCGATGCAACGACTTAGTTTACACATTTTTCGTTCATTTTGGATATGAGTGATTACTCACTGATTCGAATTGAGAGACGATTAAAAAAAAAAAAAAAAAACTTCCTCTACGTCCACCGGGCCAACTCTTTACAAGTTGCTCCGGCGAAAACAAGTCCGTGGTATGTCCCATCGGGGTTATTATCGATCTCGCGTTGTGCAGAAAACTCCAGCCCATGCCCGTGGTCGAGCGACATAGAATCGGAATAGAGAGCGAAAGGCTCGAGTGACTCATGCGGAAAAGAAAAAAAAAAAAAAAAAGGGAGAGAGACAAAGACGAAGGCCGGAGCTGCAGCGTAGATAGGCAGCAGTTTGCCCGGAAAAAAAAAAAAAGTTATTTCCGATCGTCCCCTTCGCTTCCTCCTCCTTTTCTTCTCCGGCTATAATCTCTTTCGGGCCATTATACCTTCGACTCTCTCTCTCTCTCCCCCTATTAACTACGGGCTTGGGAGCTCCTGTGTGATTTACCATTGATTAGAAGATCAGTGGAACTGCTCACGTTTCCATGAAAAGTTGTCGGTCCTTTTTTCTTTTCCCTCGTTTTTCAGATGAAATGGAAGTAAAAAAAAAAAAAAAAAAAAAAATACCATTGGTTATGAAATAAATCAGCCCACGGTGTGCCCATGAAAATATCAAGGACGCGAAAATCAAGCGAGAAAAGCTTCATCCCCGAGGACGACGTTCCCCCAAGCTCTCGGCTCGGCCTTGGAAGCTCCGCCCGGGGGTCGATCCGCTCGCTGCCGGGCTCCCGTTCCCATTGGCCCGCACGTATCGATGCGCCGCGCCAATCTACTGTGGTACGCGCGCGCAGGAGCCTCTCCTTTCTCGCTCCCTCCCGCCCTCCCTCCCTCAGGCAGCACCACCGCCGCCGATGTCGCGGCCAAGATGGGATAGAGGGCTGCTGCGAGCCGTACGCGCGCGTCGACAGGGCCCGCGCGTTTCTGGCGCTGACACCCGCTGCGCTAAACCAGCACGGTCTGGACTTAATTATCGGTGAGTGACATTGCACGCAAGGTATTTCACGCTGCCCATTGGGATAAGCACCTTGTTTTCCTCTCTTTTTCCTTATTTTCCCTTTTTTTCTTTTACTTGACCTTTTCGAGTTTTGGGGAGGAGGCCAGAGAGGGCTCTTTTTTTCTCCCGAGCAGAGGAGGAGGAGGAGGAGGGGTTCGTTTTCTAATGTGGGTCGTTGGCTATTGTGTCGCTCGAAAAGTGGAGCAGCTACTACACCCTCGTGGTTGCGGCTCGCTCTTTTTATGCGAGTGCTTTGTTCCTGTTTTATATTTTTATTTATTATTTCTTCATTTTTCATCCAATCGGTAATGATAGTTTCGCGAGGAGTAACGAAAAAAAAGAAAAACCAGTGATGCAACGAGATGAGTACAAAACACCCGAGCTCTGTGTGAATTTGGATTGACATTTGGACGATCGTGCAATTTTCTGTGACAAGTTTCGGAAGAAGCAAGCATTTGGGGGTGAAGCGCCATTGCAGCAAGCAAAGTGCTCTCGTGTTGTGCAATGATACCTCGAGAAGAGTCAAAATCGTGATGGTATCGATACATCTTGTCCCGAAGAACGGATGAGTGTCCACCTCGTGACAAAAGTGAATGAAGTTGCGCGTATAGCCCGTCAGTCGTGCGGATAAAAGCAACGATACATTACGTTTTCGGATAAATCGAGGGTGAAAGGAAAACTTGTCCCTCCGGGGGACGCGATCTCGGTGATTTCGGGAGCTCCGCTCGGCGTCGCGAGATGAAAAATGTGCGCCGAGCTTTCGTTGAGCCGAAAAAGCTCTTGGGATCAATACTGCGTGTGTGACACGACTTTCGGAGTTGTGTACCAGAATCATTTTTTTTTTTTTCTTTTTTTTTTCTTTTTTTTCTAAATCAGTGCACGAAACAAAAAATCTGCCCTTCCTCGACCATATTAACAAATGGACTTTTCGTTTGGAGGACATTTGTATGGATATACCAAGTGGCGTTTTCACACGAGCTGAAATCAAAACAGATACAAATCACCTATTTTGCTGTAAAACTGGCTTAAATAACCACCGACTCATCTCCCATAAAAGTTCCGATTCGTATATCATAACCAGCAGCATAAAATCCAAGCGCGCGACAAACTCTCTGATCGCTGGACACAAAAGCAATCCCCATTTGCGCGGAAAAAAAAAACAAAAAAAAAAAAACCGATCGATCAAACGGACGTGTGCATTCACGGGCCACTCTGTAACCCCTGAGTAACAATAACTCGGACAGCTTTTAACGTGGTCGTCGCGCTACTTCTCACCTCCCCTATATACACGTATCGTCACTGATGCGCGTACCGCGTTAGCTGTGTTGCAAGTATACAGTCGTACAAATGGCAGAGGAGAAACAGAAAACGCACATGGCCATTACTCACACTAACTCCAGCAGCACACACAAACAGTCACATCGGGGTGAGAGAGAGAGAGAGAGAGGGAAGCGATATATCCTCGCCACTGCTCGATCCCCATTTCTGCCTCCCCCGCGCGCGCGTGTCAACACGTGTCGCGCCGTGCACTTTGCGTCCCATTGTCTCTCGGTTCCGCACTTAACTCCACCACCGTAATATCGACTGCCCACCTATCCGTTGGCTGATGCCTCACCCCCTTCGTATATCTCGAGTCGATGGCACTTTCCAAGCCTACTACTACTACTACTACTATTCTTTGTTTTACTCATTGCAAATCATACGAGGACTTGCATTGGAAGGAGGAAAAAAAAAAAGTTTAACGTCCAAGTACTACCGGTGCCGCGAGAGACGTGCGCGTGGCGCCTTGGACTCGTCTTCTCTCGATGTGTCCTACGAGACATCCAAATTTCGCGACTACATGTGTACTCAATGTGCATAATTATTATTATTATTTTTTTTTTTTCAATCCCAACGGGGTTGCCATATCGGTACGTATTTTGCTTAAAACGCAGTGGGTCGTCGCTTTGGATATTTCACCCACGACGGGCAGTAATTTTTTTTTTCATCCAATGGTTAAACGCCCGATTCGATAGCTTACTCTTACAAACTCCCTTGGGTCCAAATCTCGGCCAGTTAAAGGTGCCATTGACCATAACGCTGCTGATGGATGAATTCTATATTACACGAAAAGAAGGAAAAAAAAATGAGGGGGAAAGAGTCGGTTCAACAAAGGATGTAATCATCAGAGCCGGACAGGTCGAGTGGATCCCTGAGCTTCGAGCCAAACGCAATAATCGACTCGTCAGCGCCGTGCCACCGTAGGATCTGAGACGCCCCGTACGGACACCACCCCAAGCATGCAAACAACAAAGAGCAAAAAAAAAAAAAAAAGAGGAGGAGAACAAAGGCCGGAGTGACGAGAGACACTGACGGCCCATACAAGGAAGAGCCAAACCCCGTGGGGATAGAGCGGTCCACCACGTGAATACACACGCGCCGAGGGTACACCCAAATAGTTCCCCGTACACTCGTAGGAATGAGAAAAGCTTCTTTTCCTCCGGGAAGACGGAAGGACCACGGGGCTGAGGAGGACCGGATAAACAGCAACCCCCCGACCCCCCACAATGCGATCCACCCTCCCCGAGATTCCCGAAACTAAAGGGGATGGAAGAGAGCGGCTTTATCGGAAAAGGGAGGCAATGGTGTATGTAGGGGATCGCAAAGAGGGAGAACGCTCGAATGAGATGTATCGAAAAGTCGAGCTGTCTGCTTATCGCGCCCATTGGGGGAGGTGAGGTGTATGTCGGTTCTATACCGGCCGGTCTGATTTATTGTTGCCGCTGCAGGTCGGATTACCTGCGCGTTTAACGGCCATCATTACATGGACGGATCAAACCCAGCGCTTTATATGGGTTTCAATAGCTCGGAGTGTGGCTCGAGAGTTGTACGTGTAGGTGGAGGGAGAAGTTAATTTTCGAAAGAGCAAGCGCGCCCAAAGTGTTTGTTCATTGCTCCTAGGGGATGATGATTATCACTTTCTGTTTTCCAACCGATGCCATGAAATCACGAACCGGTTTAACGTAGGGTCGAAGAGTTTGCAACAATATTGTTAGCGTCCGACCTGTTGGCTCCATATTCTTCACGTTTTTCAGTTTTCTTCTCTTTTTTTGTTGCAGAAAATTTTTTTTTCTCACGGAAAAGAATAACCATTACCGTATGTTTGCGAATTCATATTATTATCATACTACTTTGCTTATCCTGAGTGGAATTTCGCGTAATCGCTCGTGGTCGGTGTCTGTCTTTGGGTGCTGGTCACGAGCTTGCTTGATGCAATACGTGGCATTGCTCATCAAAAGTTCGATTATCCCTACTAAGCGGTGATTCATAACTGCTGATCATGAAATGGTTATCTGTTCGATACTCGGTGTATAACATTTAATTTCTTGTGTTAGCACAAAGGGACAGATTTTAAAAGCGAAGTAGGTATTTTTGTACTGATGCACGAGAAGGTGCTCCAAGTTGAAGTCTTAGCACATAACTGGGTGTTAAAAAAATTTACTCACTCAACTCGAGCGTGCGGTGGGTATGCTTCTTGCACTTTTTGGATTACTCACCGTGAAATCTTAAACATTTACCGCATCACTCCATATTTATCAATCTCCTTAAAATTTATCATTAGTTCATCGAAAGTTTATCATCGCTGATGATTGTTTGCTACTATAAGTTTTATCATAATAATAGTGCCGCGCTCCTGAGACTCCCTGCGCTTCTACTTTGAAATATTGTGCTTCACTCGTATTTTTTTTACACAGTAGCTACAAATGTTGGTCTTCGTTTCGACTTATTTGGCCATGTTTTTTTTCCCTTCCCAAAGTAAATGTAAACAAAAATAAAATGCAAACATTTCATCAAAAGAGCTTCGAGAAAAAAGAAAGTACAATAAATTTCAGGGGCTGCGTGATAACAAAAACAACAACAACAACAACAACAACAACAACAACAACAATCAAATCATCACGAGAGCAGTGGCAACCCCAATAATTGGAAAATGTCCGGATTCGCGACGGCGGGTCTCGCGGCCTTCGATTCCCTCAAGACCAAAGCTGCCCAGAAAATCTCCGGGTAAGGCGATTATCTCTTGAAACAATTCCCTCGGCTCTTTGACTTGTGATTATATATTTGAAAAAACAAAGCCTACAAAGCCCCCCCCTTTGCCAATCAACTCGATTAAAAACATACCTCGACATTGATGAACTTTTTGTGTGAAATTCGTAGGATAAAAAACAGGGGACCGGTAGGGGCGAGCGGGTACGAGGAGTTCGAGGCGCCGAGCGAGTACATGAAAGAAAACAAGGGCTTCGAGGATGAACGAGGACGATTCAGCAAACAGGGCTCCCTCGACTCGCTGCCGGAACCAGAGAGGCCACCCCTACGGCACATCGACACCTACTGCATGCCCGAGATACCTTGCCTGTCCAAGAGGTACACCATAGCCCTGCTCGCGTGCATTGGTGAGTCATACGTGCAGAGGGCTTTTACCCCCTTTTAATCTACATCTACAAAGATCATTTAAATTATTATGCGATTGGAGGAAAAAAGAAAAAAAAAAAAAAAAAGAAAAAATTTCACTACCCGTAGGCTTCGTCATTTCGTTCGGTATGCGTTGCAACATGGGCATGGCCAAGCTGAAGATAAGCAACGACTCGCAAAACAACCCGTTCAACTGGACCGTGGCGACGCAGAGCGCGGTCGACTCGTCCTTCTTCTGGGGATACCTGGTGACCCAAGTACCCGGCGGCTTCCTGGCCTCCCTCTACCCGGCCAACCGGATATTCGGCCTGGCCATCGTCATCTCCTCGTTCCTCAACCTCCTCGTGCCCAGCGCCATTTCCCTCAGCCCCATCGACTACATGATCATTCAAGTCTGCAAGGGATTCGTCGAAGTACGCTTTTCTTTTCCCCCCCCCCTCTCCCCTATTTTTGCTCGCGCTTCCAATGTTCACTGTACAATAACTGTTGTTACGCGCAGGGTGTCACGTATCCGGCGTGTCACGGCATATGGAAGTACTGGGCACCACCCCTCGAACGGTCCAGACTGGCGACCCTGGCGTTTTGCGGCTCGTACGCCGCAGTTGTCATAGGAATGCCGCTGTCCGGCGTGCTGAGTAACTGGCTCGGCTGGACCGCCTCCTTTTACTTTTACGGTAGAACGACAAAACCTAATTTTCATACGAAAAATGATGATGATGATGATGATGATGATGAGAGAACGTAAAAATGCCCAGGTGTGTTCGGTCTGATCTGGTACTGCTTTTGGCTGTGGCTGTCGTTCGAGAAGCCGTCGAAGCACCCGTGCATCTCGGCGCGCGAGCTCCGCTACATCGAGGACTCGTTGGGCCAGGGCCAGGTAGGCCAGCCCATACCCACCTTCTCGACGACGCCCTGGCGCAAGTTCCTCACCTCGATGCCCGTGCACGCGATCATCGTCGCCAACTTTTGCCGCTCCTGGAACTTTTACCTGCTCGTGCTATTTCAGGGCCGCTTCATGCACGAGGCCTTCGACATGCCCGTGGTCGAGGTCCGTTTGTACCCTTACATTTGCACGATTATCCTCTCGGAACGACAATACGTGGGTTGCTGTTGTTTGATGAGATTACACCGAGAGAAAAGAAAATAATCTGGTAGTGTTCGGTCGTGTCTACAGACTTTTTACCACTTGAACAATCATTTTTTTCGTTCTTTGGAACAGCAACATTTTTGTGATTTTTACCGTTTTTACAAATGTTAATTACTGCCCAGCAGCAATTAAGTGATGTAAAAATTAAAACAACGGAACGACACCAGATTAACGCTTTAACAGCACAGTAATTCTTGTTGTATATTATTCCCTCAACGTAGTAAGTAGGTACAGGTACGGTTTGAATGACGTAGACTGTGCAGGGGTATATTATTTAGACATCCACGCGATGATTTGCATATTGTTGTTATTTGTACTTGACACAATATTATAAATAAAAGAAATGAAAGGCGAAATATGATCGACAGACGGGAGTGCTGGGTGCTCTGCCCCACCTGCTGATGACGATGATAGTGCCGTGCGGGGGTCTGCTGGCGGATCACCTGCGTAAGCGCGGCATAATGTCGACGACGAGCGTCCGTAAGCTGTTCAATTGCGGTGGCTTCGGCATGGAGGCCCTGTTTTTCCTCGTGGTGGCCAAGTGCACGACGAGCCGCAACGGCGGCGGGGCAACGACGGCCCTGACCATCGGCGTGGCTTGCAGCGGCTTCGCCATATCCGGCTTCAACGTCAACCACCTGGACATAGCGCCGCGCTACGCGAGCATACTCATGGGCATGTCGAACGGCATCGGTACGATAGCCGGCCTCCTCGTGCCGATATTCGTCGACAACATAACCCGCCACAAGGACCCGGCCAGTTGGCGCATCGTCTTCATCACCGCCGCTTGCGTCCACTTTGTCGGGGTCACTTTTTACGCGGTCTTTTGCTCGGGCGAGCTCCAACCCTGGGCCGATCCCGATGCCGAGGAGAAGGCCAGCTGGAATCCCCTCGACGAGCTCAGCCAGGGCAGGCCGCCCGTACCGCCCCCGCCCAAGGTCATGCAGACGCAGTTCATCGTGAGTTGTCTCATTTTTTTTTTCATACACACTTTTTTCATCGATTGTCCCTTACGGTATAGGCCAAAAATACTACGAGTGATATTACGTATAGCCATGTGATTTGCCGATTAGCTACACACCAAACATGGTGTTTCTTTTTTTCTTTTTTTCTTTTTTTTTTCTTTTTTTTCATTACTACCAGTCGTTGATTGTGCCGATGCAAAGAATGAAAGCAGGAATGGTTGTATTGTCAAGTGGTGAAAAAAGATGATTTGAGCTGTTTGGAGTTTACGATGGAGAGGGTTTTGCTGAGCAGTTGTGAAATTTGGTGTCGTAGAAGCAGCCGTCGGGGGAGGGCCAGACCATTGGTTGGAACGATCCTCAGCCGCCGTACCAGCAGTCACCCTACCAACAGGCGGCCTACCAGCCGGGGCCGAACGAGTACCAGCAGCAGCAGGTGCCGATCGATCCGGGCCAAGGGGCGAGTTACGGTACCATCGGTGGGGCCAACGCGGCCAACCCCTTCGTCTCGACAAACCCGTTCACCGGTGGTGCTGTGAGCGCCAGCTACGTCCAACCACCCGGCAGAGATGACTACGGCCACGACGTCGTTCAGGACCACCAGCAGTGGCAGTAAAGCTATCTGTAGCTATGAGTTACCGGTTATCTGGACGAATATTTGCTTTGTCGATACATCCTCCCTCCCCCCTTTTTTTTTTTTTTTTTATGCATCCGAGAACCATATTTATGTCTTTGGCTCGGGTACCTCAACTACATATAACCCATCCGTGAACAAAAACAAACATGTGCTCGGCTGGAAAGTAACGAGGGATTGCGATTAGCGCTGAGAAAGATTGCAAGCGAGGTAACGCCTCGTACTCTTCGGCCATCGGGTTGATTATTACGGTCTGGGATTTGCCGTCTTTTTCTTCCGCCTTTTCAATTCATCCCTCGTTCACGGGTGAAACGCTTTTTCACTTTATTTTTGTTGGTACAGCAATTTCCGTAATAGGAGGTCTCTTTTTTTTTTTTTTTTTTTTTTTTTTTTTTTTTTTTTGTGAAAGTAAGAGAATCAATGAGGTCAATAGGATTCTCAAAAATCCAACATATCGACGAGTGCTTGCAGTTAGTCCAAGAGGATAGACAACGTGGATAGCAATTTGGGCCTCCCCCATGATCATACAATTACAATATATTTGTCCAGATTACCACTAAACAATTTATTCGAATCGAGATGTTGCAAATTTACAAGAAAAGATACAGATTTTAGGAAGATTGACGGGAAAAATGAGTCGCGGAAAAATCAAATGATTTGTGTGGCGCAATACCTAAGGGGGGCAGATAGCTGAGCTGCCTTGAATTGAGTTTCACGTGTGATGACGAGTAATAATAATAATGGTTATGCAGCACGTGCATATTTGGGACCGTACGTGATTGTTGGTAATCCTCCTACTCTGACAATATTACAATGAAAGTGCTGTACTCTAGAGAAAGTATTAATTTTAAGGTTTAAGATTAAACGAAAGTGAAAAAAAAAGAAGAAAAAAAAAAGAAAACATAATGAAAGTAAAAATGATGCGAATCTGTAAATTTAAAACAAATCTGTAATTACATGATTCTTTTTTGAATATTTTTTACAATTTCCAATTAACGAGACAATAACGCGACCCGAGGCTGTGGGTCAGGATGTTTTATAAAATTATTTACACAATAAACACAAAAACATACAGATTGCACTTTTTGAATATCGCACGTGTTGGTGAGGCGACAATAACTCTTGCGTTACGAATGGAATTAATATAAAGTGATAAATACATGCACTATCGAGCGTTTGGAGACAATAAATTCACGCGAACGCTATATACGAATGCACGAAAAAAAAAAAACCCCCGAAACAATAATTTGAAATGATTAAGTGATGTACAAAAAAAAGGGGCGGTATTGGGAATTTTTACGAGTCGACAATAATTGCACTTGGTAAAATTCGCACCACTAAAAGAATCAAACTCGTTGACCTGTAAGGAAAGAAAAAAACGTACTACGAAGCCAGGGATTGCAAAAGCTCTTCAAGTTATTGATGAAAAAGAATTATTTAGTCATTCCGCGTGAATGAAAGGAACGGCAGAGCCGTTAGCTGCAACTTTCAGGTATTTCCTACAACACAAAAAGTAGCAATAAAAAGGTGTGAATGCCAATGGTGAAAATTGGGCATCGGAGAAAGAATATGAATAGAGAGTGTGTTTAAGTACTCATAAAATTATTCTTTATTGAACAAAACAAAGAAAACATAAAAAAAAGATTGAATAAAAAACGAAATTGATACTTTATTTATAAATAAAGTATACACACGCGAACAGGTGCTCTGAATGAGTTACAATATTGGATCACAAATCTTGATTCTGCTTTCAGAGTTTGCATGAATACACAAATAAACACGTGTACACACGCACATCCTTATACACAAAAAAATAATTTTAACGTTACACGGTGGTATCCCTTTCGAGAAATTCCAACAAAAATGCCAAACACACATTAACGAAACATTTGCGTAGTCTTTGAAAGGCATTTTCATCTTTCGACTACCCCCTAATAATCCTTTCTCGAGGGGGATTCCGTTGGATTTAAAGAGAATCTAAGCTAAGTTATGAAAGTAAAATGTTTAAACGCAAAAGTAAGAAAACCGAAACGTATGAAAGTATTAAACCGCAAAGAAAGTATATAAAATAAATATATATAATCGAGCGTTAACTTCGTGTTTATGGACGTGATGCGACGTAGAGAAGAAAAGATATTGAAAGTAATAACATTTTTTTTTTTTTTTTTTTTTTTTGAGCATTCTTTCGTGTTAGTTTCTGTTGTTAGAGCGATGATAAATAAAATAAGATTTAAAAAAAAAATAATAAACAAATAAAAAAAAAAATATGAGGATCAGGCGTGGACGTTCGGAAGATAGAAAGGATGTGTAATACTTACGAAATTAGTCAATTTATGCGCAAACCTTTTTAAAAAAAATATAAAATCGTGAGCGAAGATTGAGTATTTATAAATATACATGTATTATAAAGATATTAAATAATTTACTGAGGACGTGGATGATAATAATATTTAAAAAAGTTACAAAGAATACATATATTGTACGGACAAGGCAATTATATTTATCAAATAATTGATGAAAAAAAGAATAAAATAAAAAAGGCTGGACTTTTTAGGCTGGCCTGTTATTGTATTGTGCTGTAATCAGTGTCAATGCCGGTAAATACCTTATGCAAAGTTAAAAAAAAAAAAGTGTAAATCGTGATAATTTAGCAATGTTTTGACCTATACAATGATGTTTCCGTGTATCATTATAGACATATTGCAATTATAATTAAAAAACACTAGGATGCAAATGTCTTTTATATGATTACCACATCATTCGCTTGAATTATTCGTGCATATTGGCAGTAATGAAGATTAACCAATGAAAGTATTTTAGCTGTATAGTTTCATTACTCAAGGCACAATGATTTTCTGCGATATTTACTTTTTAAAGTGTTATTACGAGTGTGCGTTATAATTTCGAATTGAGGAAGTATTTTGCGGAACCGACAATAATTTTTTCGCGACTTGTAGTTGACTATTTCTAAATACTTTACCATCGGGCTTTTGGGCGATATTATCAATTAAATGTAAATACAACCAAGAGTATGATGTATAGTTTAAAAAGGAGACAAATGTATTGAATGTTCCACTATGGCAAAATATATTTATAAAGTCGCGTTTGCTTTGCATAATGCAACGTAGATGATATCTATTGTTTAAAAAAAAAATATATTAT